TATATGTATATATATATGTATATATATATATATGTGTACTTAATTTTATTTTATAGATATTACATTATCTATCTCACAATTTATAATTTCTTTGAGAATTGTTTTAATTTATTATTCTAACAATTATAAAAGATATTTAAATTGTTACCTAAATTCTATCTAAATATGATTTTATATACTATTATTATATTTTCATATCGTTTTGTCGGATTGATTACATTGATATTACACTGCTTATAAAAAGATAGAAAATATTTTAAGATTACACTTTGTTTTCAAAATATAAAACATATTCAGATAAACTAATAAATATTTTTAAATAAGACAGATTGTAGCCATGCTAGTTGCATACGAGGCCTGAAAAAGGGAAAAATAAATTATAAATGTATCATTTAAATGCCTTGCAAAACAATAACGTTAAATATCCTGTTACCTAAATAATCGTCCATTAACGTGCCAATAGCAAACTGAAACAAAAAATTGAATATGTATGTAAATTGATGTAAAACAAAAAGATTCATTGTTAATTTACTTACAATTCCCGTGGCGTCAACTCTTGTGCCCACAATTTTTAATCTAATTTCGTCATCTGCTTGAATAACTACGTCCTGAACGATATGTTTGATTTATTACTCTCACAATTACAAAATTATAAACATCACAATTATAAAATTTATGTTGCAACATTTTATGACATGACTTACTTCTTCTTTTGATTTGTAACAGGCTGGATTCACATTCGGACAAAACTGCATATCCTCTGGAATTGACTATAGGAATTTAAATTTATATATAATATTTATGTCATATATATAACACAAATTTAATTACTATATTTCATAATTATTACAATTACTTACGTGATGAGATATAAAGCATGAAAGTGGGCCTATTTCAGCAAACATTCCAACCTGTAAATGTGACAATCATAAGACATCAAGTTGTTTAACAATTAATAAACGAATGTTAAGCGCGTGGCATGGCAGACAGCGTCTATCATGCCAGAGATCCCGAATTCGATCCCAATAAGAATTAAAATATTTACGCTTGTGTCTTCTCTCGGAAAAGGCCGGCAACCTTGAGGCCTCCCGAGAGTATCGTTGCTCACAAAAACACCTCTCGAAAATTCATTGTTTGGAACTGACATTTAAAACTGTAGATCCCATATGCTTGTAGCGATTGAATAATGTGTGCACCACAAGCATATGAGAGAGGTTAATATAGCCAGAAGCCTAACGTAAAAAAGAAGAAGAAAAGAACGAATGTTTAAACAGATCGTTCTATACTCTTGAAAAAGCATCTATTTGTACCTTATTTACTTGAGTCACAATCGCGTCTAGTACTTCACCCTTGAATGGTCTGAATACAATCGCTTTATACTTGACTGGATATACTACAAAACCTTGTCCTGGTTGTATAATACCAGCTCCTATATTATCAATTGTCGTGACAGCTACAACAAAGCCATATCTGAACAAACATATAAAATTAATATGACTTAAGGTTTCGGAACTTTTAATACCAAAAATATACAAAAGATACTCACTTTCCTGTACAAGTTCCTTCTACCTCTGTATAGAGCTTTTGCTTTACAGTGTCGAGTAATTGGGGACCAAAGTATCGGGGATGTAACAAAATCTCATGTTCTAAAGAAATCTATATATTTAAAAAATTAAAAAGCAATTAATTTTGTTCTTTTGAATTTAATTAATAGTAGAATTGTACAGAAATATGAAATTAACTTACATGGTAAAACATGATTAAGTATTGATTGAAATATTATAAATATATAATTCAATTTAAATTTTTGAGAAAGTATTAAATAAATTTATCACTTAGACAAGTTTATATCAAGTCAATAAACAATATTTTGTCTGTTTTCCACTAGTTGATGAAGGATACAGTCAGATACAGTAAACAAAAATCTATATAGGTTATATTCCAATCGCATGCAATCGTTAAGCTCCAAACATAATGGCACATTCAACAAATTCAAGTTTAGTGACCGCTCGTTGTTATTGATGTATTCTTCTAGATCTAAAATTCTGATTGGAAAAGAATACACTATTAACAGTTAGCGCTCACTCAACTGTTGAGTCCGCTGAATGCGCTCAATGATGCAGCCAGAACAATCCAAAAGAAATAACACGATTTCAATTCATCAGAAATCAGATACATTGGAATATACAATTTCCAATGAGTTGAAATCGAGTTATTTTTATTGTTATCGCTATTTCTTCTCATGTGTCTGGAGATTTAGTAAATATATTAAGGAGCTCTGCACAATAAGGAACAGAGAATAAGATTTCAACCTATCAGAAACTGTATTCCACAATACATGATTTCTGATAGGTTGAAATTTTTATTTTCTGTTCCCTGTTCCTTTTATTATGCGAAGCTCCTAAACGTTTTATTCTAGCATGACAAAAAACGAAGTTCGGAGATTTCCTTATATTGTATTTTATTAAGGCGCATTTTTCAAATTCAATTATTTTTCTCACAATAAGGAAGAACAAATTTTCTACTATTTCAAATATTCTAGAAAACATTTAATATTAAAAAAAATATAGTTCAAAATATAGTTCAATATAATAGAATAAAATGAAATTTTTTATATTTTTATGTAATAATTATATTTCATAAATATATAATATATAATTTTATATAAATGCTATATTACAAAAACATTTATAATATCTAATAACCTATTTATAAAATTATGTAAAAATATAAATTAAATTTTATTTTTAGCTTTTATATAAGATGCTGGAAAAATACTAAAGTGATCATCTAAGCAAAAATGAATTCGATTCCCACTCTTATTACGTACCTACTTCATGTATGGCATTAGGCATTTAGATTAGAAAGATATATTGTTGATAAACATAAAGAATTAAAATATGAATTTGATCCCAGATTAATCTAAGGATAGATAAAAAGACAATTATTATTGAAGAACAAAAATTTCAAGTCTTAAAAATAATTCCAATTTTCCAGGCAAGAATTCGATAAAGTTTGTTTACAAACTCTCGTAATAAAAAAAATTGCCATTTTAATGAAATCAGAAATTATAATTTTTTAAAAATTATAAAATAAGTAGTTGTATACAGATTTATTTATTTATTAACCTCGTGGAATATTTTTAAAGAAAATGCACGAGTACTTATATGTAATGTCAATAACATGCAAAATTAATAATACATTCCATAACTGATCTAAACTTTTAATAAACTAAGTTTGTATTTTCCATAATATAAACTCTATATGATAACATAAACTTTTCAGAAGAAAAATTGAGATTCTCTAGTTATTCTCATAATGACATCTCTTTAATTATTATCTTTCCAGTAAGTACGTGTGCCTTTTTCGACAAAATATCCATTTTCCTGTCACTCCTGTAAAGACGTTCGCGTACGATAACAATGTTTCTTCCTTTCTGCAAATCGACAGTCTATTGTCATCATCAAGGGAAATTGAAAATTAAAGCAGTTAATGTAGTGTTAAATTCAATTTAAAACTTAAAAAACATTTCTAGAGTTGAGACAAAGTGAAATATAATGTTATCACATTGCACCTTTTAATTATTAATACATAATGACTAAAACTATTTTGTTCAGTGTTAAAGTGCCCTTAGCAGTTTCCAAAATATTTTCTATTTCATACCGTGTAATTAGTACGTTGATAGCCGGTAACTTCACCACGGTAATTTCTTAGTGCAATTTGATTGTTATCTCGATAAGCTATAGCTTTACTGTTAGTTTTAAACTGTCCAGCATTTGAAGAATATTGGTCAACAAAGTCCCAAGCTTGATCTAGTGTATCAAACTTCTTAAATTTGTTATGGGAATATCCATGAACCTGATCTTTGCAATCCTCCCTAACATAAAGTATTAATTTAGATTCTGATTGCAAAAAGCATAATTTTCAATTATTTTATCCAATTTTCTTACCAATTGTCATAAACTCCAGTCGAACGACCGCTAGCCACTGCATAGTAAGGCATTCTGACAAGAAAAAAAATTCAGAAATTTCAGACTTTAATTTTTTGCACATTGCTAGTTTATATATAAGGTCTTTTCACTTGGTAACACAAGTGTCGTTCTATCTTTATTATTTATTAAATATAAAGAAGATAAAACGATGCTTGTGTCAACTTATATTATCAAATAGAAAGCACCCATATTTTATTACTTTTATTATTACGTTAACAAATCATATTCACAAAAAAAAGAAAATATCAAAAAAAGGAAAATACAATTATAAATCTGTTTGTATTGCCTGCACTTTTTGTACTCAACATCTTTGCTTTCTTTTTCAACGTTCAAATATATATCTATCTCAAATTCGATTTATGGAGAAATCTGAACTGATAACATAAGATAGGTGTAGTCTTATAGGACAAAATTGATTAAAACTGTAACATATAAGTATATGTAAAATTCATGTGGTGTTAAATAATATAAGACTGAAGATATTTTATAATTTTTGTTCTGATACTGAAGATGACCTAATCTAAGGTCGACGCTTATCATTATATTATCGTTATATATAATATGAAGGAATAAGTACTATTACACTAATATCTTATTTGGCTTTTATGCTCCTTGAATAATTTATTCTATCTACCACATTTTAAGTTCAAAAATTTTGGAGAATTTCAAACAACGCAATCATGTAATTGTTTTTTTGCTTTTTTCTTTATCTTGCAAATATAAATTTTAAGAGTATAATCAGAAAAGAGCAAATCTTGCATTAAAAAATTTTTTTGACTTTCTCTATTATATCTATAATTACAGTTTTAAAGACATTATTAAATGTATCAGAAGGAACATAATCACAAAAAAAGCATATTTTCAGTAATATTTATATAAGTCTTGATTGCAATTCTCAGGATATTCTCATAATTATTAATTAAATTTATTATTAAATTATTATTAAATTTCTTTAATTATTATCTTTCCAGTAAATACGTGTTCCCGTCCTTTTTGGCTGAACTTTGCACCAGTTCATCTTTCTTCCTTTTCTTTCCTCTTGGAGAGGAAAATGAACTGGTACAAAAGTTCAATCAAAAATAACAGGCCATGTATGTGTTCTTCAATAAAATATCCATTTCTGTCCTCAACATCATGATTGCGTTAATTAATAATAATAACTTCATAATTAATATTGATCAATAATTCTACATATAATATTTTTACATTTGTATGTTCCAATTGTAAGAGATATGATGAAGTAATAAAAAAATGACGCAATGAAGCAACAAATCCTCGCCTGTTCGATAAACCGAAGATCATTATCCGAGATCTATAATCTTTTTGCAAGCAAAAATGTCATCAAAACTTACTTGATTATTTGCAATGTCAGCAATTAGTGTAGTAATTTTAAAACTTTCAGCCCTATGCTACTTAACAACATTCGTTCAGTACAAAAAGTCGTACGAAATGTCGAAAATGATGAATGATTATTGGCCTTTTTTTTATTAGCGAACGATGCATATAGAACGCTATGTATAGAAAATTTGAATCCATGATTCCTTTCGACGATCCTATTATGTGACTATTCGAGAAATTTCATTGGCAGAAAATGGGAAATGGAAAATTTGGGATGGAGCTAATTCTACGTCGCTAATTGGCTAATTTATTACACATTTTCTGATTTGAAGTTTTTCCACTAAATTTAATTAGATAAATTCACTAGGCCGATGGTAACATCTGGTTGGTTGAGATTGCTGTGATTCACTGACTTTGACAAAAAAAAACTACAATTGCGACGATTGTCAGATCTGAATTATCTAAAATCTCGAGCTTGCTGCGAATAACTTCGCGCGGTAAATCCAAAAGTCTGTGAATCCGTTCGGTCGATGATTTTCGCGAAAAATGGCATTTTCACAATCGCATCAACAAGAATTAATTGAACTGGCCGAAATAACGGGAATCTCCACGGGACCCGGAGTTTTTCGGTGAGACATTTGTCGAGAGTTATCAAAAGTGGAATTTCGCCCACGGACATAACCTCTCTGTACGGTTTTGTCATAATACAATTTTCTCTGTTTACAGAATTGTATTGGAATTATTAGCATTACGAGTATCTCCGGAGGATATTTATACCCTTCTTAAACAAATATCGACGAGATCGTCGAAATCGCTGAACCAACAAACAATAAACGAGAATGCGCAAGCTTCTGTCTCATCTATGAAACAATGATCTTGTATGTTAGTTTACTGATTTGGTAATTGGTAACTTTAACAATTACATCGCAATAAAGAATGTATTTATGTAGATAGAAATATAAAAATAGCAATGTATTTTTCTAGAAATAATTTATAGTATGGAAAATATAATTTATCCATTCGTATTTCTCATTTTATTTGACAAGAATTAGTCATTTTTGTCATTAAGTATGATTTAGTCATATATATTATAACCATTTTTGTGATAGCAATTTCTGTTTATATGCGCAAAAGTATAATATACTCTACAATTTTAATCATATTTTGTGTCTGATTGTATTATTTTTATAATAGTAAAACTCATTAAAAAAAGAAAGAATGAATTATAGATCAGATTTATTATATATTATAACAAAAGTTAATTATATTTCAATGTACAATAAATACTTCATAATATTTTCTATAGAAAAGTTTATGTATGCAAAAATAAAACAAATAATCTAAGATATAATTTAGTACTTGTACTTTACATCTTTTATCCAACTTAGTTTTTATATCGCAGGCAGCCTTCTCTTGCCAGTTTGTCTGCCATTTCATTACCATGAATTCCTGCATGTCCATTCACATGATTCTAGAAGATTGAATGTCTTTCACAATAGTATTTATATTAATTGTAAATATATATATATATTAAATAAAAAAATGCTTACCCAAGCAACAGTCAAGTTCTCTAATTCTTTCTCCATTTCTAATAATTCTGTTTTATTTATAACTGGCTTGTTATCTACAGTTTTCCATCCTCTTTTCTTCCACACTGGCATCCATTGTGTAATGCAAGAGATGAGAAATTTAGAATCAGTGTTGATTTTCAACTTCTTGATTCCTACCTTTTTCGCCTGTCTCATAGCTACTGTAACAGCTTGGATTTCTGCCATATTGTTAGTAGGTCGTCCATTTACTGGTTCAGATATATTTCTACGAAAATTATATCTATATTACGCGCAGATTCATTGAGTTTTAGTAGATAATGGACAAGACTGAAAAATAAAATATACAAGGGATGATTGTCTTGAAACCAAACACCGATACCGGCTCGTGCATTCTTATATCCGTTTGAACTGCATGCGCCATCCGTAAAAACATTCACATAGCCATCTTCATCCATGATAAAATCCACTTTGTCATCCTATACAATCCAAATTTATGAAATATAATTTTGCAGTATAATATTTTTTATTTATTTTTATTTATTTTATTTATTTTTATTTATTTATCAATATATGAAATTCTCAGACCATATTAATCAACTATAATACATCAGCTAGATCAATTATTCAATTATAAAATAAAAAATTGATAAAATTATAAATTATGCGCTTTGATATTAAAATTTAAAAATTATAAATAATAGAGTTGATCAGTTTTAGTTTTTGAGAAGTTATTGATATATTATTAATTTCAAACCTGGTTAAGACACTGAGCTAATCTAAGGCAATTGTTTGAAATGTCAGTTATTTTTCTCTTTTTGTTTGGGTGTTCATTACTATCGTCACTTGTAGATAAAGTCCTCTTTGAAATTGATGATAATTTTGTCTGAATTATTGCAGACTGCTTACCACCAAGTGTAAACAATTGTTTCGGCAAGGTTTGAGATCTACATAAAATATTAGCTTTAAATGACATATTGTAATACGATTTCAGAGTTTCATTAACTTCGCAATATCTCTTTCTTATGTTAAACAGGAATTATTATTATTAACTCTCTATCAGCAATGCAAGATTTTTTAAGACAGTCGATTTTTTTGATTGTGGAAATTTTAAGAAATTAAATAATGGAGTTCGCTATCATTTTATTATTTTTTTCCCAAAGAATTTGAGATTCTTTTTTATTCATAAAGGTACTTAAATAATTTAACGTTTTAAATCAACATCATTATATTTTTTTTAAATACTGCCCTAAAGTATTGTAACTCAAACAGATTTTTTTTTCATTCTCACTCATATAAAAGTTATGCACTTTTAACCAATATTATGTTTTTTATAATTTTATTTCTATTACGGTAAAAACGATGTTAAAGATTTAAAAAATATATAAAAATTTTTTTCAGATTTTTATATAGTTTAAATCAATAAAAAAATCTATGTTATGGACCTCAACAACTCAGGATGTAAATCATAATAAAAAATTTCATACTACCAGAAGAGTTAATATTTACCTTGCAGATTTTACAATTTTCGATGAAATAAGGCTCTTAGAATTTGTTCCCTCAGAAGAAGAACGCTCCTTTATGAAGTTTCGAGCCTCACTTTCTGTTGCAAATTTTTTGTATATTGATCCAGGAAATTTAAGAACCTGAGCACTGCATTCATCCCTGTTAAAAATAGAAAAACTTTTATTTAATTTTTTTTTAAACAGATTCTTATATAAGCTCAAAATAAACCACAAATCTATTTAATTTGTTTAGCAAATATACAAACATTTTTACTCTAATTTCTTTTTGCTGATAATTTATTAATTAAATTGATTTCCTTACCATGTAGCATAAATTCCAGGTTTTCGACCCCTGGCTACTGCATAGTAAGGCATTTTGCTTAGGAAATAATGCCTTGTTATAAATACAAAATTTAATTTCATCAATTTGCTCAATACATATGATCCTCTTCCTGGATAATCATATTTTTATTTAATGTTTGCACTTTTACTACCAATGTTATTAATACATCACTTGCAGGATTTTCTGATAAAAAAATTAAGCTTTTTACTGGTAATTTCTGTTCATGGAATAAATATATGTTCTATTATTGATGTAACAAGAATCGTTAAATGTACATC